ACTGCTTTCTGACCCTCTTTTCTGATCAGTATGGAAGAATGCATTTGCCCAGTGAACATCACCTCCCTGAGGCCCAGTGACTGAGTGGGCAGGATGGCAGAAGCAGGCCCATTCCCATGAGACCCAGCATCATCTATTGGATGACTCAAGGACTTCCGTGGCCGGGCCAATGCTGTCTTAGAGCTGCATTGCAGCCTGTGGCTTGGCTTCCCTACCCTCCTTCCTCCTCTCCCTCCTTCAAGGGGTCAGGCCTTCACTGCCCTCTGATGGCTTACCTACCTCTTCTGACATGCTCTCCCCTTTTCTCCTCCCAGGCCTTCTCCCAGTAAATCTCTTGCATGTCTAATCCCACCACGGCACGCTAATGTCTTCAATAAAAAAACCCACGCTCTGTGGGGACAGAAAGTGGCAGAGAAGCTGTAAATGACTTGGCTGAAGGAAATACCAACCTTTGCAACTGGCCCATGGCAAGACAATTTGGACCACACACCCAGGACAGGCTCAGGAAATGAACCCCAGGTACTGCGGAAGGTGAGTTGAGGCAGGGAGCAGAACACAGAGGGATCCAGGTAAGGAGTACTCAGAGCTTCTGGATCCCCACCTCCACCCCTAAAGTGAGGCCTCTGTTCCTTCCTCACTCCACTGGCCTATTATCTAGAGAAACTAAAACTGAGTTTCCAGACTTAGGGGCCTCAGGCACAGTATTTTTTCTTTTCTTTTCTTTTTTTTTTTGCTGGTATTAAGCACAGGAAAAGGCATGGGTGAGGGGCCCAGCCTCAAGACAGGGCTCTTTAGTGGAAGTCTAGATTCTGCCATGTAAGAATCCAGCCCCACCCTACACAGCCCTGTAGCACCCGCAGCCAGGCTTGTATCCCTCTGTCAAGAGACTAAAGGAGTCTTTTATAGAGAAACTGAATGGCACCCAGAGAAAAGAACGCAGAGAGTGACACCTGTGGCTACCTGCTGCCCTAGAGAAACCATCACTCAACAGTTCCAGCCCATGAACTCAGCACTGCCAGTTGGCCTTCAAGGATCAG